AGGCTAGGGCTTTTTGGCAGATGCTTCTGCCGGGAGAGCTGGATAAGCTGGTGATTAATCCCTTCAGGTGATGAAGGGGACGTCAGGACTGTTAGCATGCTAGCCAACAAACGATACAGCATTGGTCAAAGCAACAAAATATGTCTCAGGTATTCTGAATAAATAACGCATACGCATCAGCGACTCGGTGATTTCTTTTCAAAAAAAGGAAAAAAAAAAAAAAGAAACAAATGACTAGTTAAACAATGCGACTCATTGAGCCAGTTATTTTTTGAAGCGTCTCGGCGATGAACTATCTTGCAAAAGCAAAACAGCTTATGAATCGCATTTCAAAAAGTATAAAATATCAACGAATAAAAAATTCAGAGTTTCGATAATACAGAGGAGAAGAGGCAACTGTGGTTTTCGGGTACAATAAAACCTGAACTTAACTGGTACTACGGGGCAGACAGAGACACCACTAACGCATCTTCATTTCAACAAAATACAATTTTTTTCTGATAAATATGAATCCCGCATCTGTCAAAACATGAAGGAAGAGGCGTATGGACAAAACTATTTGGAGCACTAGATTCGAGTAAAATTTACTTATACTTCTGTTAACGTTTAATTTTGGTAGTAAAGTCTCCAAAAAGCTAGCAAAAAAAAAGTGCACAAAAGAGATCCATGCTTTTTAAATGCGCATTTGAGTTTTCAAATTCCCTTCAGTTTTTGTTGTTCGAATAAAACTACACAAACAAAACTATCGAAAACAATTATGACACTCGCACTCCGTTTAGGCCCAACCACCTGTTAATTTATGAAACAGTTCTTCGTTAAGTGTTTGGCTTTGTTCCTTGTTTCGCAAGGACAAGAAAATATAGCCACCAATAAATTCATGCGCTACCTGAAATCACGACATCACGGTCACATCTCCGCGTTAAAGTTTTCAAAGAACAGAACTAAATTCTTCAAACATAATATGAACTATAACGGCTGTAGAAAGAATATCAGAAAAAAAAACCAACCTTACAATCAGCGGACAACGGCTTAAATTCAATGTCCTCGTCCTCAAACTGAATCTGTAAAAAAGAATCAGCGTTATTCAAAATACTATTTTATCGAACTGATTAGCATAAATCCAAATCAGTTGTTTTCAAATTCCCTTCTATTCACAACAGCAGCAAATATACATTTCATTAAAACTGACAGGTAACAAATGGGCTCTACACAAACGACCTGAGCAGTCGTCGTGGCCAGTACAGAAAGCTGCAGTACGGGCAGTGAGAAGTCACAGAAAAGTAGGACGACGCCCGCCATTTTGACGTCAAAAATTCCAAGCAAATTTTTGCTTTCAGCGATAGGAAGGGATAAATTAGCAAGGTGAGCCATGAAAGAATATGCGAACTTACCTTTAAATGTCTGATTTCCCAGTTCACATGCCATTTTTTCATTGTTGAAAACCTCCAGGTTTTCAGACTT